CAGTTTCATAGAAAATTCTCGAGTTACGACCCTTGGCATTTCACGGCCATTTATATTCGCGGACCCACCTGTCTTCCCATTCCATTGGCAAGACATCATCGTGGCTGCTTCTGGATACTAAGTTAAGTGATTTTATGTATTCTTGTGGTTTACTATGATTTATGTATGAGCTGATGAAAGCTCTGTAGCCACAACGTTCACGTTTTGTTTGTGCTTGGTGTCGCGCGCCCACGTGGGTAAATACACTGATATAGTGAGGGTGTGGGTTTGAACCTTAACAATGCCCACCCACGTGAGAAACTGGACTATTATCTAAGCTATGTTGATCCTAGACAGTCCTGGATAGCCAAGAAAACAGCGAGTGGCTCGTTCCATGAAATGAAAGTTGCTGTACTTGTATCCACAGGAGTAGGAGAAGGGATAGATAGATATCAGGATACACCCACTGTGATATTATCTCGATACACAGTTAACCCCTGCGACTATTCTCCTCTCCTGGCATTACTTAAAAGCCCCCATCAAGTGATTTAAATATTTGTTAGCTGAAGTAAACTAATATGCACAAAGACACTTGAACCTAAGTACACAATTTACTCAACTAATGTTGTTACGACATCAAAAAGATTTATTTAATAAATCGAAATTAAAATAAAATGAACTTGTTTAGGCTAGTAGAGTTGGGATGATGTTGATGAAATCATAAAGGTATTGGAAAGTAACAACCTTTGGACAGTTCTCGGCTTGAGACCCTGCCTATCTTTTCCAGTTTGTCGTCCTCACTGCTTTCTGCAGGTCGTTACACTCGACGGTCGGCAAATAATGGATGCCTACTAGTCCCTGCCAAATGTGGGAACTGGAGAATGAAGAAACAAGCGCATATTTGTAGTATCTGCTCTAGATGTACACTAAGCATGTATATTATACTAACATCAAGCATGTTTATTTAAATAAAACATTTCATCTCTCCCTCATGCTCACATTCACTCCTGTCCAATTTGGAAGGGCTTATGTCTCACATTCCAACTGTTACATCTTCTGCCTTCCTCTACACGTCCTGTAATGATAGTCAAGTCTTCTACGTCCGGTGCCAGCTCTCGTACAGACTCAAAATGACAATCAGTCAGACAGAACCAGTTCTGGAATCTATGCTTGGAACAATCGACGCGCCCAGAATGCTAACAATAGTTCTGGGGAGAATCAAATAACAAATCTCGTGGATTTACTCTCCGGGATCAATCTCCGCATTAGCCTCCCGAGAGTTAAACACATTTCAGTGTGTTAGCTGTATGTAATACAGATTCACATTAACCACACGTGAAAAGATTGCCAAAGTTATCTTCACGCTTGTGATTTCAAAAACATGATAGTTCATTAAATTTCAATGGCAACAACAACATTTAGGTTTTACAACATTGAAACACATGTGCACGAAAAAACATTCATGACACTATCAAATAGGATATAAAGCAATGTGACAGTGCCCTACGAGAATGAAGAAATGTCCGCCTAGGAGTATTACAAAGTGATGAAGACAGACACTTGAGCAAAAAGACAGATCTCTATCATAAAATATAGATTTGGACCTAATTTCGATCTTACCTGGAAAAATGAAACCACGATGCCAAAAGTTCTGTCTCAAGCTTAGGTTAAGCCCAACAGATGGCATGTGCTGGACAGCGTCTCATTTACCAGACCTATAGTTCACCCCTTTATAACTTTTATCAAGCTCCTCCTACATTACGCCTAAAATCATTCTCATACACGGATGCCACAGCTCCTCCCTGTGGGTAAGTTTATTCGCTGTCAGTCAGTGACTGTACAACAATTGTTTGAATTCCCACGCTAGGGTCTCCTGGTCAAATCATCTGACCAGAGCAAATAAGACAGGTCACACCTCTAGTCTACTTCACCTGTCATCACAATAAAATCCGACTTTGTCAATTCTTCTGCCAACACTTTCCGCTCACTGTGTCAATAGTGACCGTCGGACCGGCACTCCAGTTTAGGTAACCTCAGGGGGAGATAATGGCAATTAGCCCTTGTTATCTGTTCCTGAAGATCTGGCAGGGGGAATAACTATCTGACACCAACAAATGGTGTGCAAATCTCCAATCAGTAAGTCTGCTTGGTCAGTCTTATCTCTGTACCTTAACACTTAACAACTGGGAAAAAGTTTTCGTGTTTGATATGACCAACGGTCCAGGAGAATTAAAGGTGTGATGTGGTCGTCTTACTAAGATTAAGGATGTATCCAAATCCCTATTTTCCTGTATACTTTCAAAATACAAAGAAATTAAAGTAGGTTGAGGAAAGACATTCTGGAGTCACCGAGCGTATTGTCACACTTGGTATATTGTGAAGCTTGCTGATCTACTTTTTGTTCGGTTTTATATCTTTCTACACACACACACACACAACGTCAAACAAACGCTGATGAGAAAGACCAAAGATGCTGGATTGGACTGCATCCATAATATTGAATTGATTGAACAGGATTGTTCAAAATGGAGGAATAGATTGTCAGCCATGTTTGACACATAATGGCACAACAGGTCAAAGAATAAAGGAAGCGAAACAGCGTGCGCAATTGTTTTTACCTGTGTGTGCATTGCAGATTTTTAAAAAGGAAAGTTTTAACTGTAGCTTAGCCCTAGTGTCGGCTCTGTGGCTAAGTCGATGCGAACGCTTCGTAATGCCGGGATGCCGGGTTCGATTCCAGCTGCAGGCCATGCGCCTTGCGTTGGTTTCGACAGTGGTATCAAGAAAGCCGACCGTCCAGAGCAATGGCAAACTACTGGACGCAAATTTGTCTAGAAAAACCGCACAACAGCCAGGGGCTGTTGAGGTTGGTTCTGCAACGTCCTGCAAAGGATACGCAACTTACCTTAACCTTAGCCCCTAGTCCATCTATAAGCCCCACCTGGCAGAAAACAAATGGAAGCTACTATTGAAAACAAGATAATTATTTACGGCAACACAAAAAAGTGACTTACTTGCATGACCAAAAATTAACAGAAAATATGTGTGGCCAATTATAATCCATGCCATGGTCAGAAATCGGAGGCCATGGATGACCGTGATTGACCCCGGAGCCTGCGAAGTGGACAAAAGACGTTTTCCGTTTGTGTAGGCGGAGAATGACAAAAAGATGTTCACACACACACCTGCGAGATAGACAGTAGTAAATGTATTAAAGATTTTGCAGATACAGCGGGGTAAAGTATCAGTCGTCGTGTGCGTGTTGGTAAACTTGGGTGGCCATGGGCCAAGATTCAGCATCTCAATCGATCATCAGAATCAACGATCAGTCTTTGTTCTGTTCATGCCATTCGATCAAGCCAAGATTTTACCTTTCTGTCTTCCCTTTGCCTTCTTCCATCAAGTTCCCCATTGCTTTTACGTTTACTTCTCTTAATAACAGATAGGTCAGTTATAACTTCTTTAATGGTTGAACGGAATATCTGAGATCTTATCTAATGGTTTGCAATAGAGGTAAACATATTGTATCTCATGGTGGTAAACCTTCCTGCAGCAGAACGCATGGGACAACTCGGCCGATCGATCGACGACTGTGTTGCTGTAAACATACTTCTAGCAAGAAAGACTTAAACGTACACTGAGAGGGATAGACAGGCAAGCGGATAGACACATAACCAGATAGACAGACAAGCAGATAGACAGGCAAGCAGATAGACAGACAGGAGAGCGGATAGACTGCCAGCCTGGTAGACAAAATAGAAAAAAAAAAACTAAAACAACCGGTGTTTTACAGTAGGACAATGTGGATCTTGCCTGTAGTTTGTGTGTTGTGCTTTTCTGCCCGTTGCTTGTTTTGAAGTTCAGACGTGAGATTTGGTGTCATTGGCTTGCGGAATTCTTCTATCAGGTCAATATATAGATAGAACAAAATATTAGTAGAATAATATTTAGATAGAACAATATATAGATATATTTTTTTATATAATAGGCTCAGACAGACAGACAGACGGACGGACGGGCGGGCGGATCGACGGACGGACGGACGGACAGACAGACAGGACAAACAGGACAGACAGGACAGACCAGACAGGACAGGACAGACAGGACAGGACGGACAGACAGACAGACAGACAGACAGACAGACAGACAGACAGACAGACAGACAGACAGACAGACAGACAGACAGACAGACAGACAGACAGACAGACAGACAGACAGACAGACAGACAGACAGACAGACAGACAGACAGACAGACAGACAGACAGACAGACAGACAGACAGACAGACAGACAGACAGACAGACAGACAGACAGACAGACAGACAGACAGACAGACAGACAGACAGACAGACAGACAGACAGACAGACAGACAGACAGACAGACAGACAGACAGACAGACAGACAGACAGACAGACAGACAGACAGACAGACAGACAGACAGACAGACAGACAGACAGACAGACAGACAGATAGATAGATAGATAGATAGATAGATAGATAGATAGATAGATAGATAGATAGATAGATAGATAGATAGATAGATAGATAGATAGATAGATAGATAGATAGATAGATAGATAGATAGATAGATAGATAGATAGATAGATAGATAGATAGATAGATAGATAGATAGATAGATAGATAGATAGATAGATAGATAGATAGATAGATAGATAGATAGATAGATAGATATTAAAGCATTATGGAGTTACGAACTATTCAAGAATGCAGAAATTGGATGATCAGATAAGTACAAGAGGGCTGCGTGGTATCGAGGCATGGTGTCCGCCTCGAGTGCTAGAGGTTCAATCCTCGGTAAGGGCTGGGATTTTTTCACGTGGACTTGGACTTCTAGTAACTCCCCCTAGTCTCTGGGTAGTCAGATCGGACGCCCGTGTGCATTGTTGCGCACGTTTAAAAAAATCCCTTGGCAGTTGAAAATCAAAAAGAGTAGCCTAACAGCGCTGCACGGGCAAAATTTGGAGTTGAAAAAAAAATATACAGAAAGTATTTCAGGATTCTTGCCGGTGCTACAGAGCCTGTGCACTGAGCTGAGCTTCTTCGGACGTGAGTTAGAAGGAGAACGAATCACTTATGGGTTACTACCTGTATGCCATAATGTTGATCTGTTGTTCAAAACACACATACATACACACACACACACACATACACACACACACAACTCAGATAAGTACAAGAGTAGGGGGAAAAAACGTAGACTTTATTTTTTTAAATGTAAGATTGTCATCTACCCCTGGCCACCGCCAACTCTAGATTTATAGCTAAAGATGGCCGTGTCCTAGCCTATCTGTCAAACATGCTGGTGCCGAAAGCCAGGGAGGAAACTATCACATTATATCTCTCTTATATACTCTTTAAAACGTTCAAGTAATATCAGTATAAATTAGAGCACATTCCAGCATGTGTAACTAGGACTTAGATATTGTAAATTTTTTTAATTTTTCATCTTTTTTTTCCTTTTCTATATTTCTTAAATTTTCAATTTTTCACTTCTGTTTTTATTATTATTATTATTATTATTATTATTATTATTATTATTATTATTATTATTATTATTATTATTATTATTATTATTATTATTATTATTAACTATGAAATGAGGTACAAATAAAAAATTATATGAAAGGAGAAGAGTGGAAGAGCAGAATGTTATGTTAGACGGGCCTGCGTGCCCAATTCTTAACCCTTTGAAAATAAAGTTTGTTCGTTTGTTCGTTCGTTTGTTCTTGAACGTCCAAACGTAAGCCGAAGATGGATCAAAAACCAAGGGGAATTGGCACATAAACAGCATCCTGTGGCGAAAGCTGTGGTATTTTGGCCTTGTTAAGCTGAGTGACTGGTTGTAACATCCCCTGTGTTGTAAATAAACAATATTCGGGCCTTGCATGCAGATTCTGGGTTGGTCTCTTGTTCCTGTTCACGGATTGGATGTTTCGATGTGAGATTTGACGATAAAGACTTGCGATACATTTCTGCCAGATAAATGTATTGAGTTTACAGGCAGAAAGAAAGAAAGAGAGAAAGAAAGAACAAAAAAAAAAAAAAGAAAGAAAGAAAGAAAGAAAGAAAGAAAGAAAGAAAGAAAGAAAGAAAGAAAGAAAGAAAGAAAGAAAGAAAGAAAGAAAGAAAGAAAGAAAGAAAGAAAGAAAGAAAGAAAGAAAAAGAAAGAAAGAAAAGAAAGACAAAAAGAAAAGAAAGAAAGAAAAGAAAGAAAGAAAGAAAGAAAGAAAGAAAGAAAGAAAGAAAGAAAGAAAGAAAGAAAGAAAGAAAGAAAGAAAGAAAGAAAGAAAGAAAGAAAGAAAGAAAGAAAGAAAGAAAGAAAGAAAGAAAGAAAGAAAGAAAGAAAGAAAGAAAGAAAGAAATAGAAGATAGAAGAGTTAAAAGAGACATTAAAAATAAAACAACTGTAACAACTCCCCCCACCTTTTTTTTTAATGTGCGTTTAACTAAACAATAATGGGGTCTTGCCTGGCGCCTGTGGGCTGGTCTCTGTTTCCTGCTCACTAACTCGAGGTTCAGATCTGATAGCTGATGATAAAGTCTTGCGATACTCTTCTGCCATTTCAATGATGAGAGAGAGCGTCGTTGACAATAGGCTCCCACCTGCAGGCAGGAAGGCAAGATCGCAGCCAAATGGACAGTAAGAAAGAAAGTGTATACAGAAAGAATCTGTATCAGGTCTGTAGTAAACGAGGAGGCGCAGGAACCTGGTGGCTCGGCGCCTTTGGGCATTCTTGCCCTCCCCCTCCACCCTACCCCTCACCCCCTTTTCCACCCCAATTTTGTAAAGGTATTGATTGAACTGCCCTTCTTTTAACCATATATATATATATATATATATATATATATATATATATATATATATATATATATATATATATATATATATATATATTCTTAAAAGGTATATGTCTACACATTTAATGTTGTTTCAAGTAGGGCTGTACCGAATAGTGATTTTCATTATTCGGCCGAATACGAATAGTGGGACCAACTATTCGGCCGAATACGAATACGAATAGTGTATCATCATCATCAGATGCCTTGCCTACTGGCGTGGGCGATCATGCCTCTCCACAATCTGCTATCTCCTGCAGCATGTATCAGTTCGTGTGCTGACACACCTCCATGCCATGCAACAAGACATTCAAGAATCTTCTATCGTTGTCTTCCTCTATCCTTCCTTCCACAGATCTTTTCAGTGGTCACCAAATGTTCTATTTTCCATCTTCTCATAACATGGCTGAAAAATGACGACTGTCCCCTTCTGATGTCTGTGATTAGTTGTCTGTTGGCTCCTGCTTCTTTCAAAACCATCGTTTGCTCGGCCGTTCGTTCGATGTAATTTAAACGCTCCTTCATATCCTCTTTAGCAATATCTTCAAATTTGATTTTGGCAAAGACACCCTGAAAGAACGAAAAATGCATGATCTCTCTCTCTCTCTCCCTCTGTCTCTCTCTCTCACACACACACACACACACACATACACATACAGACACACACTCACACACACGCACACACACACACGCACACACACACACACACACACACACTGTGGTTGGCATTTTATGCAGTTTGTACGACGCAACCGGGTCGCAGTTTCCCCTGCTACGACAGACTTAGGCAACAGCAACTACTGTGTTAATGAGAGGGTTATTTCAGTCCATCAAAGTGTATGCAGAAACGGGAGTAAGGTAATCACTATTCGTATTCGGCCCGACCGCAACTATTCGGCCGAATACCGAATAGTTATTAGGTCCACTATTCGGCCCCGAAGCGAATACGAAGGAAATATTCGGTACAGCCCTAGTTTCAAGTATATTTATTTGCTGTTCAGAATAGTATTAATTGTATTATCATCATCATCATAATCATCATCATTATTATCATCATCATAATGCTCCTGAACTATAATTATGTCCTTTTATGGCCATAAAATGTATGAGCGTATAAGTGAAAGGAAAAAAGTAGACATCCCTTTTCACGCTTGTCGGCGCATCGGGCATATGGGCAGAGCGTCCCATAATTTGTACAGACCAATCGGCACTCTGTGGGTAATGTGGTCAGCATTACGCCGGCCGTCTTTACCTCCCTATGACAGTCATCCTGGTACCTATTTGAGGCTGGGTCGATCTGCGACGTCCTATACCACGATAAAAATT